ACATATACATATACACGCTATTGAATGTATATATATATATATGTGTGTGTGTGTGTGTACAGACTATATAACGTTCCGTCGGCGGCGTTTACTGACGCGGCCAAGACGACCCGTCAACACTGCAGCAGCCCTGCATAATACAACGATATGATAATATTATAATAATAGTCAAATATATGCCCAGCGATAACTCCGCGAAATCTCGTGAGCGCACACGCGAGTGCGTCTTATGTACTCGCCCGCGTACCTGCAGCTTAATATACTATAATAATAATAATATGATGTATTCCTGATCGTTATTATATATATATATATATACTTATATGTATATAGAACGCGATGATGAAAACGCATTAAGCCCGAGTCATATTATATAATGTCATTTACTCGTGTCAAACCGTGCCCGTGTCGCGACGACGTTTTATAATAATGTAAACACTTACCTGTGTACTATTATTATGTTATATAGGTTTCGATTTGCACTGCTGTAAGAAAAAAAATAATGTGCAATTTTGTCTTCTATTCTTCGAGTATATTATGTTGTTTTACTGTCGAATACGTCGTAAATAAATAAATAGGTACCTATACCTATAAATAATATAACCAACGCATCGGTTCCACGTAAAACCGATAACCCCGCAGCACGTTGACGAGAATCGATGACAATTAGTATTTATCAATTAAAGGTAGTTAATATGTTATATTATCGACATTCGCCACGCACGGTTTTATGCATAATCATATTATATTATAATATGACGATTCATTATACGATATTACTCTTGAGTATAGTCGTTAATCGTTACGGTAATTATTATTTATTTGATTGTACCGTTTTTGACAGTCGTAAAAGGCTGCGTATTTATTTAATTTGTACGTGTCCCTAAATATTAAATGTTATGCTCTGATTTGTATTTTGTGCATCATGACCAACTATTTTGTTTTTAACTTAAATAAGTTTAATCTTCTGTTAGTCTACCATTGATAAAAAAAAACCATAGCCTTAAAATATTTTGTGCAATATTTTTTTCTTTATTAACAATCACATACTATACTGTTATTACCATGTCTGTTAGTTTATTTCCTTATCCAAAATGTTAACTCTCACACAAATATTTGAGTAGAATTTTATTTTCACGTCCGATCGCTATAATTTTAGAAACAAAAAAGTATAGACTTCGGTTATTATTGTACTAATAATCATAGCATTTGGTCATAAAAAATTACTCTTTCGGTTCACATAAATAGTTAAAGTTTCTAAATTAGTAATTTCATTAAAAATACTAAAATATTATCAATTATTGCTATAGTTATTTATTATGCCCGATATTGTTTTATAGTTTAATTTTGTTGTAGGTAGGTTAGGTAAAACAGACATCTATACCTAGTTGTTTTTAAGAAACGTACATAGATAATTGAGTATTATTTATACTGAATGATTTAATGATTCACCAAGTATGATCACCCATTGCTCTTTAATACTTAGGTTAGGTTAAATTCAAATTCTGATTTTTTGAACTTTTTAGTATATAGGTACCGACTTAGCTAAGTTATAGTTATCCGCATATTTTAAGCATGCGGTGATATAAACTTATTTTTTTTCAAACGAGAACTTTATCAATTTACTATAAATAAAGTTAGGCAAGTAATTTTGTTTTCTAAATTTTGATGCGCCTAAATAACAAATTTAAACAATAGTAGTTTCTGAGTTATTAAAATTTGTTTATTAAAGATAATATCTAGTCCTTAGTATTGATGTTTTATATTATAGTCGTATAAAATAGAATAGAATATGTTATATTAAGTTGAATTAAATTAGAATTTATTTTTATTTTTATTGAAAGGTGTAATTGTTAAATAATACATAAATATTTAAACTACATACAACACGATATTGATATAAAGTGATCGTCACTGGACGCTAGACTTGTTGTTATATTAAGTTTACAGCTCATTATTTTTAAAAAATGTTTACAAATTATAAAAATTTTATACAATAACTTTCAAATCACATAATAACTTTTATATATTTTCTAAGTATATAATGATTATAGCCTATTATCCTGATTATCCATCATAAAATTTAATAATTCAGAAACTACTCGTTCAACTTTTGATTTATTTAAAGACATATGTGCAAGTAAGTATCTACATAAAAAAATCATTAAAAAATTTAGAAAAAATAAGTTGGTAAAATTAAAAAAAAATATTCTCAACTTCTCAAATTTCTACCTAGAAACCGGTATTTAAAAATTTAAAAAATCAGAATTTATAATTATAAAAATAATTCAATTTATGTATATAATTAAAGGAAATAATAATGGTTGAATATTCTTGATGAATAACTTTGTATAAGTAATGATTAATGCATATTAGATTTCTTCTCTAATGAGATTAAACTATTTGAAGAACAAGAAATTAAATTTACATTTAAATTAAAAAAAGTTTGCACAATTTAACACATCATTAGGAACATCTTCGAGTGGCCTTAATCGAAAATGAATTAATAGTTTTGAAGCATTTCCAGTAGTAATGAATATTTAATGAAATTTCAATAGTCATTAAGTATATTTTGGATATTAAGGTTAGACTTTTTATTTTTATTACACTGTCTTTTTGTATATGTAGTATCAAAATTATACAACTTGTTGTGATAAAATATCTTGTTAAGTTCGAATATCTGCCTAAACTATTCACTTTTAAATGTCTCTTATAGAAAGAAAAAGTTTTAAATTCTTTAAAATAATTATTATAGTAAAAAATGTTTTACGCAATATTATTAAAACTTTCCAGAAACACATCATTGTTACAAATTATATAGTTATTATAATTGTTATGTAGATACCTTAATATTTTTTATTATACTGATACGAAAAAATTCAATAGTTGTCAGTAAAATAAAAGATATTACTGAATATATTTTTTATATGAACTAATACATTTTTTTTATCAGTTTTTTTTTTTAAGTTTTAATTTTTATTTATTCAGAGTAGTATAATATAATATAGCTATTTGCAACCTATATATTTTATACATGCCTGAAAACATCTTTTGTATATTTTTATATACCTACTTATTATTTAATATATTATGTTATAGTTACAGAAAACAATCATATTATATGTTGATTTAAATTATAATTAATGAAGCTAAATTGTACATTGATTCTTGATAATTCGATACCTGACGAATGTGTATGACGTGCGTGTTATCGTAGTACTCATATTATAATTTAATAAAAACATAAAAATAATAATAAATATTATAATGTTATTGTGACTGTCGATTGTTATACAAGCATAATATACCTTTTATTGCAGTTAATATATATTATGTGATTTATTTTTGTGGTATGAAAAAAATAATATTGCCGATTATATTTAACACGCACAACACTTTATTTATCCTATTATGTTACAACATGTATGAAATCGTCATTTAAAAAAAATAATTTGATATTGTAATATAATATAATATAATATATAATAGACTGATATTCATTTATTCTATTTGAGATAATTTTATATTTATGTACTCACGTACCTACCCCTACAAAATAATATAAGTTATATATATGTATGATGCGTGATATGTCTATTATATATTAAATTATATTATACTATCATGTGAAGAAAATCGTGATAAAACTTTTTCTAATTCTTTTTACAGTCACCGTGTTTAATTCAAAACGTTATACATAAATATGTAATGACAGTTTCATATACTTACAGGTTATTTTGAGGAGTTGTATCAAAAAATTCGGTTTTCCAAGAAATTATAAGTTTTAGGTAAGCTAAATCTATTATTACAAGTTACGAATAACCTATATATATATATATATTATAAAAATATAATATTTCATATCGATACACGCGCATACACTGCAATGTTCTGCATATTTCATATAGGTATTACGCGTGTATATACTAATCACGTGTGTAGTAAAATTAATTAAGAATTAGATACCGTTTTCCTGGTCAAAACTCGATATATACAACTTAAAACTCAAAATGCATATAACTATATTAAAATACAAATATATCATGTAAAATATAGTATGCATATAATATATTTTTTTTGTACATACTATAAAGATAATATTATGTTGCGTACGGCATAAAATCCACACAGCCTGAAGTGCGTCGAAATGATAATTTTATACGATTTGTAAAAAAGCACGTCGATATAATTTTGTATATGTTGTCGAATTGAATTTATTTTACTTAAAACCGTACATATGATAAATATTTATGATATAATTTACACATAATATAAATATATACATATTATTTAGGTAAAATATAGGTACACGGCATATATTTAGGACATGACCGCAATGTGACCAAGTCACATTACAAAATATACACGTACAATGTATAAACATATTGTATTATTGTTATATATATATACATACACACACACACACATATATATATATATATAAATATATAAATACTTAAAGTACAACAGTTTGCTGTGCGTACGCGTATGTATATATAATAAGTGCAGTGGCGGCGGCGTTGTTTCAAACCCGGTTAACACCGCCGTCGCCGCGCACGAGACGACGACGAAAAAAAGTGACATAAACAACTTCTATTTTCAACGTACATTTATAATATATTATAAATTAATTATATAATTATTTTAACATACTATATGGTTACTCGGAGAAAACGGTCGTAGGTCGTTCGACGTATCTATATATATATTGACATGCAGTGAGCGTTCAATATATTCACAATAGTACAGCTTATAACGCTTATAAATATACATATGATTCAAAATATTCACATATATTATACTTTTATTTGTATAAAATATATAAATATATATTATATCATATGTATACATATACGTTTGCGAAGGAAAAACCGCAACTACTTGCACAACATTTTTGCATCACATCACATTATAGATAAACGTAAAAAGTTGTTTTTTAATTTTCTAAACGCGTACACACTAACATAAAATATATACTGTACATACACACGTATATAATAATAATAATAATAATAATAATAATGATAATAATAATAATAATAATAATAAATCTAAAAACGAAACATGACGGTATCAAACACATATGAGTATAATATATATAATAGTTTATAGGCAGAAGGTACTCGAGAGATTACTAGATAAAAAACAAAATAAAAATTACACATTGGATGCATACCGCGGTCGCGCATGCGTGCGCGACAGACACTTGGAAATAATTGAAGAAAAATTAAACGTGGCTGCATTAATTACTATTGCTGCTGCCGCCGTTGTTGCCACAGGCCCACGAACGATCACGCCGTTTTCAAACGAGCGGCGGATATTGGTGCTGGTGGTGCTGCTGGAGCTGCTGATGGTGATGGTGATGTCACAACGGTGACGACGATCCGGCGGCGGCGGCTGCAGCAGATACTGACGACCCGGACGATTGCGGTCCGCCGGAAGCTGCTGCTGCGGCTGCAGCTGCTGCAGCGGCCGCGGCCGCGTGATACAGCGACGCCTGCTGGTGGTGTGGATGTGGGTGCCCGTGGTGGTGAGGATGGTGTGGGTGTGCGTGTGGGTGATAGTAATCGTTATACCCAGCTGTAGTACCGTACTGCGAAGCCGCTGCCATTTCGTACATTTTCTCGGCGGCGGAGGCGGCAGTCGCGGACGACGCGGTGGCCGCGGCCACGGATGCAGCTGACGACGGTTTGTCGGACGCTGACGCAGCTGCAGCGACCGAAGCCGTCGGTGGTGGCGGCAACAGTCGCGTAATTGAAAACGGATGGTTGGACGCGGCGAATTCGGCAGCGGCTGCGGCCGCGGCGGCCGCCGCTGCTGAAGATTTGAGGTGTTGTTGCAGTTGTAGTTGTTGATGGTGGTTGTGATGCTGTTGCTGCTGCTGCTGGTGTTGTTGTTGCTGTTGGTGATTGTGATGTGCGGCGGCCGCAGCGGCGGCATAAATATCCACCGGACTGTGCTGCTGTTGATGGTGTTGCTGCTGCTGCTG